CTGCTGGAGTGTGACATGGTTTGTTTGTGTACAAAATAATACAGTATCAGAATTTTCAATATTTATATTTGTCATTCAACCACAGTTAAATTCACTCTATCTAGGAGGCACAGTTTATATGGATAGTATTTATGTTTTACAATAACAAGCTGGAATGAGAACAAGCAAAAAATGAAATGTACATATAATTGTGTGAAAATGAAAGAAGTAGATGTAAAAAGTATGCTGAAAAATAATTACTCAGTAAAGTACAGATACCCAGAAACTCTACTTGAGTACAGTAACAAAGTATTTGTACTCTGCCTTCAGCAAAGCTAAAAGTAAAACACGAAGTATTACTCATCATTAGAGATACATGCTGTGGTTATCACCACAGGAACCAAAAGCAAGAGACAAGAATACTGAGAGGAGAATGTCACTTTACTGATGTGTTAGAGATTCATCACTTTTTGTTCCTGAAAATGAACTGAAATAAATGTGAAAATGATGTCATCAACTTACGAAGCTTTCGGGTCATATTAATTTCCTGTTTTAAATTTTTACTGGGGAAACGATCCCCAGAGATGACCTTCAATCGCTGACCCCTCCTGGTACCCACACGACGGAAACAAAAGGGTAAAAGTGAACATTTGTCCTGGTGACAAACAGGTGCTCAGACGTAATTTGATTCTTATCTTTGTATGAGATTTGATAAACTAAACAATTTTTCTCCCTAATTTAACTAGGACCCCCTTAGTTAAATCCTCAGCAAAAGCAAACTCACCTCACCTCACTCCAAACCTCAAAACTCACCTCTTAGTGTTATTTGTTTGTTTATTTGTTTGTTTTGTTTGTTATTCGCTCGTGATCGCAAACTCTTTCAGTTCTTCTGGTTCAATTATGTCATCATTCCTTACTCACCATAGTTGTGAATACATTTAATCTGTAAATAAATGACCCGTGGAGAACTGGTCAATATGAGACAACGTCTAATTTTTGCGTTTTAATAAGATTTATTGGTTCTGATAAGAAAAGAACTCATCAGATGATTTTGGGTAGATTTATTGTGAGACTGATTACAATAAAGTTACAGGTTTTCGTTCCTTGACCAAATTAAGAGAGTGGTGCCTCGAATTTGTTTATTTAAATAATTCACAAATTATTCATTTTAGAATTTACCCAAATTAACCRTACATGCTAATTTGTGTTCGTGTATTTAAATTTTGACTTTTTAAATTTTTCCCACAGGGTGATAAAAGCTTCCATGAACATAACAATCTCTATAAGCATCTATGCTTGTATTTCATATTAAACAACTGTATCTGCACACTCTAATGCACACCCCCTCGGATCATGAGTCACAGTATTTTATTTTTATTCTTATTTTTATCTTATTTCATCATTATACCCTGGTACAGTAATTTTATTTTATTCTATTTTTAATTTTATTATTATTATCTTAATTCTCTATTCTGTCACATAGCAATTTATTGTTTTTGTGGATTGATGTATCTGCTGCTGCTGTTACATCTGAATTTCTCCTCTGCAGGACAATTAGGGTGGTTTCTATTCTATTC